AGGGTGCATCATAGAATGTGGACCTACATCATATTTTAGACGTGCGGTGCTTAGAACAGGGAAAAATACTTATTTACTTGAATATTCTTGCGCTCCCTATCTTATAGAAATGGTAGATGGCAAGAAGCACTTTTGTAAAAAAAATTCACAAATACTTTTGAGTATAAATTTCATTAGTTACCTGTAAATGCATTGGACATGAAAGCACTAGCGATATCCTAACAGAATAGAGAATTTGGCCATCTTTATGTATTCGAATCAACACATTTGGCTTATCGATCATGTGCTTTTGAGCTTGTTTTTCATTCTGAAAATAATTCCATTTGCTTTTTCCAAGTACAAGTAATGGTGCAAATCCTACCTGAAAGAAACTATCAGGCATCCAAATTTGTTGTCCAGCTGTAAGAATAAGAAAATCGGGTTTATTATCGCCGGGAAGCCCATAAGCTAATCGGCCATCAACCCAAGATTCTCGAAATGTCAGCTGTACGCTGTATTCCATGTTCACATCGTCGATTTTGGAAATGCTAAAAAGAAAATTTTATGAAGTTTTTCTTAGATTCTTCCCTAGAAGGGATGCTATCAATCCAAATGTATCGTCAGGCTGAGTTATTTGTCAGTCGTCGATGCTTTCGACATGCTAATAATGATGCCAATTATCGCATAGGCATGCTCAGATTTCAGCACGTCAGCTTCATCGCTAAGGAGAAGCAGAGACTAGCTGAGTATATTGATGAAAGTTTTATACATCATTTTTTACGCTTTGGTCTCACCACGAAAGATATGACGTCAGTTGCTGTAAAACCTATGGAAAAAAAGAAAAAAATATTCTCAAGTCCTTTAGAAAGTTTTACTCTTTCTCCTTCAGATGCAAGACCAGTAGAATCAAATACCTCTCAATTACAAGTTCAAAGGATGATATTATAGTTGATTCCTTTCAGAAAATTGGCGCTTTGACAACAACACATCTCTAATTAGTCAGAAGGCTGCAGCCAAAAAAGAACAAGTTTGTTCCGTACATCAATGATCCTTGGTTTTTTGTAAATATATTCCAGTGCTCAAAAAAG